CTAATTTTATTTCTATAAAAATGTGAGAAGATCACGAACTGACTACTGACTAGGCTCTAACCGGTGAAATTCATGTGGAGGAATATACCAGATTATAAGCTTTATAAATGATAATGATACTGACATAGCACTTCATCATAAATATATGCATTATTAGCATTTTTTATGGCAAACTATTTATAATTTCTTTCAATTTGAAAAATGGCGTGCCAAGGTGCCAGATGAATCACTTGAATAACTGAATAAGCTATAGTGGCAAAGTAATATGGTGGAAAAGTGCGTTGGCAACTTAACATAAGAAAATTAAGAATATGTGATGAATTATTGTATTTAAATTCAAATCAGTTGATACTAAGGTTCATATATTCATATACAAAGTCGTGCTTATGGTGTTATCAAAAAGGCATTTGCCTTAAGCTCCCAAAAATATATAAATTTTAGGACCCCTAAAATACAAGTAATTTATGGCATAGTGGTTACAATCAGGACCGGCCCTGCGGCATGCCTAATGAAACATTTGTTTCAGGCCCCCGAAAATTTAGAAGAAAATTACATAAGTATAGATTCCTAAAAAAGCTTTTTAGATTTCCAAAATTTTTTTTTACATAGAAACCGTCATAGGCCCCCAAAATCTCAGGGCCGGCCCTGGTTACAATGTTTCTTCTAGTTACGTCTATGTACATTAATTTGACTCTCATCTTTAGTATCATTAAGATTTTACTATTTTGATATATTATAGATTCTTCCAGTTTATGTTTTTATGCTACAATTTTTTTTTTGAATTTATAAGAAAATTTGTGTATGAAGAAAAATAACTTTTATATAGGAGATTTTGTCTATAGGGTTATCACAAAGCATATTTTATAAAACTTAAACAAAATTATTTTTGTAAATTCGCCTTAGGCTTCCTAAAGTGCTCGCACGGCTATCATATTTGAATTGTCTTTTTCTTAAAATGAGATATTCTAACATGTTTTAGGTCATATATCATTTAGATTTACTAAGATCAGGGAGCTAGGGTTCTTGGGTTCTTCGGGCTTGTCATCCGGAGCCCTCTTACTTCTGTGGTGGCGCGTATTGAGCAGTCCGACTACAGAAATTTGATCAAGGGCTGGTCTCTGTCCGCTCTGATCACGGAGTGGTGTTGTTTGTTCTTTCTTCTTTGGTGCAGGTTTGGTGGTGTGGTGTTGTTGTCGTTGTCTCCATTCCGAATAAATGCGTCAGTTGTCCATAACTTGGCGGTTGTCTCTACGTTAGTGGCATTCCTGCTTTGGAGGTTTCTGCGAGTTGAGTGATAATCTCCTATTGCTATCCTCCCCCTTCAGTTAAAGGCAATGATGCGTAGGTGATCTCTTGCATGTTTTAGTTTGCTTGCATTTTTGCATTCCTTTTTTTTTGGTGTTGTCGATTAGTTTAATTTACGTAGTTCTGTCACAAATTGAAAATGGTAAATATACTTAACATTTTTACAAAAAAAGAATTATGAATTTTCCTTTAAAACCAATCAAATAATAAATAAATAAAACCATATTTTCATATACTCATGTTACCCACTCAACTTCCATCGCTAATATTGTAATAGAAACCCAGCCAGAGAGATTTGTCTTATTTCAATGTCTTTATTTATCATTGGTCTCCCAACCACTACTGTTTAAATTTTTAAATATATTATTTTAATAGATTTCGAATCAAATTCGGATCCTCATAATTGATTAATTCCCATCTGTCCTATATGTAAAAAACAGTATCAAATGCCTTGTCACTTGAAAGTGAACTCAATCGGGTGATTGTGTTATATGTAGATTCAACTCCACTCTTGACAAAAAGGGCACGTTAATTAATCATGAAGCATACTGAGCAAATTACATAGCAATGAGCAATGAAATAAAACACGTTGAAAATTTTGATAAAATTACAAACTAACTATGATTATAATGATTAGACATCATTGATTTATTTTATTTTTGTCAACACATCATTGGTTTCTTTCGCCAAGTAAAATTTTATAAAATAGATTATAAATATGTTTAAGTACGAAAGTATTTTACACGCAAGTGTTAAATTTGGTACATGTATCCTACTTTTTTTTTAATAAACTCTACCTAATTCGAATTTGGAGTAACTTCCGCTTAATATTATGGATCATCGTCTGTTACGATCTATCATGTAAGAGCTGAAATCCAAATTAATGATAATTTAATTTTTAAAAAGAATCGAATTCAAAATTGATGTGAATATACACTAAGCTCTAAAAATTACCATTACACTATCATTACTTGGTTTACATATATATATCCTACTCACTTTGATATATACTTCTTCTTTTTTTAACACAACTCACTATGATTGATATATACTTAAAATACTTAAAATATTAGGTTTTTAGGAAGTACTTAATTAACTAGTTTATGGGGATTTTTTTCCACAAAATCGGCTAGCGGTACCTAATGATCACGTCACCCACTGATGCCTGCAACTCCTACTGTGATGCGCGCATGCATGATGCATCCAACAGAAGCAATAAGATTCAAGCAAAGTTTGATCTACACAATATATGACCATTCACCTTATGTTCAAAACAAACCAAAAAGGAACATGACTATGTATCACAATAGAAAGTTGGGAAATAACAACAAAAGGTTTAAAACGCCATGGCAATTAATCTATCTTAAATATGATACAAATATGTCACACTCACCTCGCACACATAACCGTTTAATTAGAACACACAAATTTATTTCACATATGAATTTACTTCTATTCATATATATATATATATATTATATGATCATAGTACATGAATATGAGTCATGACCGTGATAATTGTGTGGCTCCTGGGTGTTGTGGGACGTTAAGTTGTTCTTACTCCAAACCGAATGGACATAAATTGTAGCTTTTCATGTTAGCAGAAGACTATCTGTATACTTTTATTGTTACAGATTGTTTGAGATCTTGACGTAGAAAATGAAAAAAAAAAAAATTGTTATAATATATATTTTTCTACATCATTCATAACTGGATTTGAAAAAAATATACAATGTTACCAAAAACTTAAAAGAAACATAAACGAAAAAGGTGTTACAAAAAAAAAAAAAGCATAAACGAAAAAGAATCAAATTATAAGCAACCAAGTAGTGGTGATCTCGTAATAAGAGATTTGAACCATAGTATAACTTTATATGTCATGAATTGAGTATATAGGTTTGGATTTCAGCCCATACAATTTACAGTTTACTTGGATGAGAGAACAAAGTTGCTGCGATTTCACCAGTCTAGAGTTGAATTTCGGCCACTATGATTTATATGGTAGTCTAGTAACTGACGATTTGGTTGTCTTATGTCATTAGTCAAAAACATTATAATTTCGGATTAGACATTATGGTATGTAATCCACTTTATCAGTAGGTGCATTTTTCATTGTACTGATCTGATCAGCTGATATAGCACATTAAAGAAAAAAAGTTATAAGCTATTTATAAAAATGATTATGTGCCGAAGTGATATTCCAGTACGTGAGAGAAGTCGATATAATAGTTGTATTAAATGACTATGTGCCTTTTTGGCATTTCCGTAAAATGCTCATATAATGCGCATGCATATTTAAAAACATAAACTATATGATATATCTGTATCTATTATCAAGTGGGTCTTTTGTGTGTTTGCGCTTGAAAGTTACTGATTCTTCTTGGTAGGAGACATAATAAAATATTTAGTTAAGTTTTTGTAGTCTTTTAAAATTGTGAGAGTTTTGAGTTTTTGTCCCATAATCAAAGAATGGCCCAAGTATACATCCGATCAAGAAGAGTATATATTGTACGACACACGCCGAGTCTACGACTCATACAAACACAATTGTACACGAGTCTTCATCTCCATCGTCAATTAGAATACGGAAGTAGTTATATTTAAATTTTAGAACAAAACTTTCTATAGTTTCCATTTAGTCACAAACTTTTTTTTTCAAATGAGTGGAACGATCTTGGTGAAGTAGGTTAAAACTAAGATAAGTTTCCACGGATTTTCGCAGAAAAAAAATTCTCACAAGTTGATTATTCGAACACTGAGAAAAAAATAATGATGTAAGTCCTAACTAATAGTAAATTTACGTCTTCGTCAACAACAAAATATATATCAAGACTATCGAGAGTTAAAACTTTTCAAATCTTATACTATATAATATGATATCATTAGGAACAAATATTCAGAATATTAACAAAGTCTGTGTGAATATTCTAAAAATGATAGTATGTGGAAAATATAAAGCACAAAAGAACATTTTAACTGTTATTAGAGTACAATCAAATTGGCACACCTTCATCCACTACAAACTTTGACCACTTGGTGACAATATTTCAACTTTATAAACTTTTTATTTTTGAGAAATCGCAATTTTAGAAACTTTTTTGCACTAACAATTTGACTGTGTCTCGTTATATCAAAAAGTAGCAAAAATACGAGCATGACAAAAGTGGTACCATAGTTTTAGCTTATTCTACACGATAAGAAGTATATACTGTACATGCTAGGAAATCCCAAGCTAGGAGTGTGCGAGAAAAAGAGGCATGTACATTGAAAATGAGATCCCATTACTTATTAATTAATATACTAATTAATAATTTTATTTGAAACGAGTTGAAGCAAGAAAGATACGAGTACTTTCCTTTGTTACACTTGTTTCATAGCCGTTTGAACGCACTTAATTTAACAGCCGCGCGCATTCCTCACGCAGCTGGAGTCGGCTGGATATTTCATGCCGTTGTTGTTATATATTCAGAAAAATACTTTTTCCTTCTAATAAAAATATACTGTAGTATATAAAGTTATGGGGTGCGATGATGCTAGAATTAAATAATAAAGCTATCTCGAGATTTGAAAATAGACTTAATATATACGTATAGAACACTTTATCTAAAGTCACTACTAACTCACAAAATATAAAAAAGCTCACTTTATTTATTTCTTAACAAATATAAATATTCGTAAATTAAATAGAACAAAATGCTTTTTATACGTAGGAAATTTATTGTGATTGGATTTTTAATGTAACAATATGCTTTAAAAAAATAAAAATTTAAAGTCTTCTCTTTTTGCCAATTTTTATTTTCGTCGACATCATTATAATACGGGAAATAGAGAAGAAAAAACCTGGGTACCTTCTTCGTGAACTTCCCAATCACCTTCGTGGACCATCTTGTATTTAAAGCTCAATCATCAATGACATTGTCTCCCTATATATAACAACAGCATGTTACTTCTGTTTAAATGATTAGATCAATACATATATGTACATACTAATACAAAAACAACTTATGATATATATACGTAGAACTGATCATCCTCGTTTATATACACCAATAATGACAAAGACACTTGAGATTGACGTAAGATCAGCAGAAGGGCTCAAGTTAAACCGAAGACTCTTAAACAAAAAGACTTTCGCGGTCGTAAGAATCGGTGAGAAGTCTCGAACGTCGCATCTTGACGTGTCCCGAGGAAGCAGTCCAACGTGGGACTACAAGCTGGAGATGCCTATCAACGTGAGTGTACAGTTCATATACGTCGAGGTGTGGTATCGAACAAGTTCTGGACGTGAGAAGAAGATAGGAGAAGCTAAGATCCCAACGTCAGACTTCATGGGAAGGTATTCACCTGAAGGTCATTTGAATTTCTTGTGCTATAGGTTAAGAGATGAGTTTGGGGATAAGTGTGGAATCGTGAATGTTTCAATCATGGTTAAACCTAATTCCACAGATGAGTTGTTCAAGTCTTCTTCCAAAGATTATGGAGCTTGTTCGTCGCAAGTGGGAACGGGCCCGTGGAGACATAGACCAGAGGCTCCTTGTGTTGATGGATATGGTGGTCGGATTGTTACAGGAGTTCCTGTTTGGTGCGTGCTTCAACGGCCAACGTAAGTTTGGTGGTGTTTGGGTGGACAAAGACTTGTGATAAATTATTTTTTGTTACTATACAAAAAAAACTTATTTGATGTTTGGAAACAAAAAGGATTACAAGGTTCAATATTAAAGTCAAAACTTGTTCTATAACTCTATATACGTGTTCGTCGTGTGTTAGACGAAAAGTTAAAACACTTGCAACAGAGTTTTATTATAGAATGATAATAACGTTCCCCGATTGCGCGGTGATTCGTGGCCGGTGGATTTTTTTAAAAAAAATCAAATAAAATAATATATAAAACTTATTCGAGTATTTTTTTTTATTGCAAGTGACAATTTTAATAAGATGTTATAGTTATTTTAAGCATTAGAGAATGTTTATTCCACTGGCAGACAAATTTATCATAATTATATCAATAAAAGTATTGACTGCCTTATCATAATTTTAAATTTTTGGTACCACGCAAACACCATTTGGACTGGAACATACTGTATAACATTATAGACTTTAAAAAGGTGGAGTTGACATAAAAATATTCAGATTCTGAGTTATATTATTTATTGTGACATGACAGTATAGAGATAAGAGTTCCACGGATGTAAAGTAGTGGCCGGTTCGATTGTCTCCACGTGAAGTCAGTCGACCGCGGTGAGGATAAAAGCACCTTTGGTGATTGGCTTTGTCACGAACGTCTCTTTACAGATCATGTGGTGCGCCTCTGATCGTCTCTTTTTTTTCCTTAATTTATTTTAAATTAAACTGTGCCAAAAATCCGAGGCACTTGTGCTATAGGTTCTAAGACTACCCGCAATAAGGAATCCTTAGGGAAAAAAAAAAAAAGAAATATTTTGGATTATATAAGGATATTTCAGATTTTTTTTAAAAAAATACAGTAATCATTCACGGACCGCCACGTGGGCAGTGGAGTCCGCGAATAGTGTAAGAATCAATCCTTAAATAAGAACTTTAAGGATATAATCCTTAATTATTCATGGTACTTACCGATTATAAATTAATATTTTCCTAAGGATTCTCTCTAAGGACTCTTTGTTACGGGTGCTCTTAGAGTAACTAAAAAGCTGGCATTTAGATCATTTTTTAAATGTTCTTCATTTTAGGGAAAAACGTCAAAAGTGAAAGAATTTTTTTAATGGTCTTCTTAGAGAAAAAAAATGAATTTGTAAAAGTGTTTCCTCAAATTAGTGGTAAGCTTTGTAGTAATAAATTAGTCTTTAAACTTTTTTGATCTACAATATTCAATGTTTAGGTTTTATACTTTAAAGAAAGTATTAATACTTTAATAATACAATTATAACTTTATATAAATTATTATATCTTTTTTAGAAATTAAACTTAATATGTATATAATGAAGATTTAGTTTATATTAATATCCATTTGAGTAAAATTAATAAATATTATAATATAATAAGTATTTACGTAATAATAAATAGTAATGATATAATTTACTTAAATAGTCTTTTTGAGATAAAAATGAAAAAGAAACTATAGCAAAAAGTAAACTTATTTTGAATTTACTTATTTTAATAGAGTAGATGAGGTAAACCATTGAAATACCTTTATCTTTTCGAAGTTTAGTTGGACCGGAAGATCCGGATTAGCTCCTGATATATATTTTCGTTTTAATAAAAAATTCCCTCTTTCTTGACGAAATTAGAAGTGATTTTAGTTCCTTTTTTTGCTAGTTTTGGTAAAAGTTTGTGGGCGCCGCAAGTGCCGACTCTTTGTTTTGGTCCACTAGCTGAAACTGCATTTTGATTATTAAAGCCTTGGACAAATCCACACGCTTCTCTCGTTGTTGATCCAAAGCCGAGTTAAACAATCGTTATGATCACGTCGTTGTAACCAGCTCACCAACCGTCAATTTAATTTGGTTGGTCGAATAGTTTTTAACAAACGTGAATAAACCAAACTTAGATTTTGTCTGACTCGTCTCAAGTAAAACATCTTTCAACCGAACTATTTACTTATTGCATTTACAAAATTATATAAAGAAAGAAACCAAACAAAAAACAAGAAGTGCAGCTTTGTTCTCAAAAACAAAATCTTACGGTCTCCTCTCGTCTTCCCTCTATAGTAGTCAAATAATAAACGAGGTTATTATAAGGTAGTGACTGATAGTGATCATGATGAGCAGCTCATCACATTCGTATACATTAACTCAAGTGAGAAATGAATCTTCTTCTTGTTCTTCTTCCTCCTCACACTTGTTCACTACCACTATGTTCATTTTTGAGAATATTAAACTTGCAGAGAGGGCAAGTAGCGTTGATCCTTAGCCATTTGTCTACACATAAACTATGGAAGTGGTGTCTACAAGGAAGTTCCCTAAGCTCTACTCCATCTTCATAAGCACACAGACAAATGCTACATTCCTGTAACACGCTCAAATCATTTCAGTGTCTCTATATATACCTAAATATCAAAAAGAACAAGACCTTGAGTTTGGTTACTAACAGCATCATCGCTAGCTATCAAGCGTTCGGTTTGAGAATCAACACCTAACTCAGTCATTATCCCTCCTTGAGTTTCTTGGACCTCTCCATTCACTTTCTCAGAACTCTTTACTGTGAGAAACTTGAATTTTGAAAGCCTCTCTATCTCTTCATCAGGCGCACCTTCCTGAAAATATTAACAATAACAATAAACACATTCAAAGATCAAAAGAAGTTTACAAGTAGCTTTGCTTATTACAATGCATCACTTTTGTTTTCTTTTTTACCTGATCTGCTAATGCGTACAAGATGGCGATGATGCAAGGTAAGCAGCAGCAAACAGCAATACCGATTAGACTAGCGACCGCGACGCAGATGACAACGAAGATAACATCAAAAGCAAGGAATGCAACACATAACCTGCAAAAAAACACCCAAAAAAGGATCAAAGAAACAATCTTTTAAGAAGATAAAAAGCAAAGAATTGTTATTTTTTCCAGCTAACAAACCAGTAGAGATGAGGGGAAGACTGAGCCATTTCCTCCGTATCACCAGTGACCCAGTAAAACCCAATGATCCACCACACAAAAGAGAACATCGTATTCGCAGACTCAAGGTGCTTGGCGAAACTGAAACAGAGTAAACAGTTACACATCAGTTAAACAGAGTACAAAACAGAGTGAAAGAGTACATTCACTTCAAATTAGTATACAACCTTAAAGATGGAAACTTTACACATCAATGAAACAGAGTACACAGAGTAAAAAGTATGCATCAATGAAAAAGAGTAAACAGAGCAAACAGAGTAAAGAATGAAACTTTACACACCAATGAAACAGAATAAAGATGTAAACTTTACACATTAATGAAACAAAGTAAACAGAGTAAAGAGTATGCATCAATGAAACAGAATACACAGAGTAAAGGAGTACGCATCAATGAAACAGAGTAAACAGAGCAAACAGAGTAAAGAATGAAACTTTACACATCAATAAAACAGAATAAAGATGTAAACTTTACACATTAATGAAACAAAGTAAACAGAGTAAAGAGTATGCATCAATGAAACAGAGTACACAGAGTAAAGGAGTACGCATCAATGAAACAGAGCAAACAGAGCAAACAGAGTAAAGATTGAAACTTTACACATCAATGAAACAGAGTACACAGAGTAAAGGAGTACGCATCAATGAAACAGAGCAAACAGAGCAAACAGAGTAAAGATTGAAACTTTACACATCAATGAAACAGAGTAGAGTAAACAGAGTAAAGAGTTACACATCAATGAAACAGAGCACAAAACAGAGTAAAGATTGAAACTTTACCTAACTCGATGATCATCATCACCATCGTCAACACCATAACCATCAGATTCATCTTCGCTTCCACTAAAAGACCCACCGTGATTCGAAGTCTCCTCTCCACTACCTTCTCCTCTTCGTCTTCTTTTAAACTCACCAATCACACAACCAACGTGAAACAAACACTGAACACAATACCCAACAATCCACAACCTCAAAGGCACCTCAGGACTCTCTTCACTACTAAAAAACCCTAAAACCCCAACAGACACAATCACAAACACAAAGTTCCAAAGTATGTCCAAAGCTATGATGGGCCTCGAGTAGGCCCACTGACTCTGCCTCTCCTCGAGCTGCTCAGCCGCCACTTCTCGGACTCTCACGGAGGGCTCACGGAGCATCATCCGACGGTTGCTCGCGCGGCGGAGGAGCCTCGACGCCGCGCCGCGGAGGGGCTGCGAGGGGCGAGGGATTGTGCGGCGGTTGCGGGTTAGGAGCGGTGAAGCGTCCATCGGTGGGTTGATGTGACAAAAGGTTGGATCTTGGGTTAACGGGTCGATCCGGAAGGGAGGGGAATTAGATGGGTCGGGTTTGGAATCGCTGGAAATGTGGCGAAGGTTTTGGTCGGGGGGGATGAGAGTTGTTGAAAACGATAAGGGAATGTCTCTCTCTATTCAGGTTCGTTTGTTCAACGAATGTTCCATTTTTTATTTTATTTTTAATATATAAACTTGATTATTATAAGTCTCCATCGAAATCATGTTATTAGCGTTGAAAACTTTTGGTGGTTTAGAAAAGATTAAGAATGTTTCTTGTGTTTTTTATTTTATTTTTGATATATAAACTTGATTATTATAAATCTCCATCAAAATCATGTTATTAGCGTTGATATATTTGCTGGTTTAAAAAAGATTAAGAATGTTTCTTGTGTGTGTTGTGTGTGTGTGTTTTTTTTGTTTTTTTTATTTTGTTTTTATTTTATTTTGCAGAGTCTTGATTTTAAAATAGATTGAGTTGCTGACAAAATATAGATTGGTTTACATTTTGAGCACATTTTTGCAACTTTATTTGAATTGGACTATTTGATTTGGTCCAATATTAAAGCTATTTTCAGTAAATCTCAATATTATTCAACAATTATTAGATTGGATCTGTGATTATGATTTTTGATGTACAAATTCAAAGGCTTAAAGTTAATGAAAATTATCAAACACATAATGAATGGGGTATTTGGAATACTATCAAAACAACAGTAAATCATCACATTTTACAAGACTTCTAATATAATTTAATTGATATTAGATAATCGTGTTTCTATGTTATTATTGAGTTTCACTACTCTAATTAGTAAGAAAATTAAGCAATATTAGTACTAAATAATTGTGAAATAAAAAATATGTGAAAATATATACGCCTTAAATTTTATCTCATTTTATTAGTTTTAATACATAGTAATATATGGTTATTTGTGTAATAATTTACATTTTACATCTTGGCATGATTCCAAACTATAACTTTGTCATAATTAAATGAAATAGTCTTGAAAAGTTTAATTATATCATATTTTATTCTTATTTGATTTCTTTTTTTTATTCCTACTCAACACCGAAAATATCTAAGTAATACGCATATTTAATAATCATAAATTCATCATTTCACTGGCATAGCTGATTTTATTCTATTTGATCCTCTGGCATAGCTGTTTATTCTACTTGTTCCTATGGTTGAATAACAAAATAGTTAATGATACTGAATTCAATTACAATCTTCTTCTTTTTTTGTCAAAGAAATCAATTATAATCTGATACTGTTATATTTGAATAACACGATATTGCTTTTCAAATCACGTCTTTCCGTTTTCACTATGCCTTTCATCATAAATCTTATACAAATCTTTTTTTTTTTGAATAACTGTATTTCCTTCCTAATTAATATGATTGATTTCCAAATCAACATCTTCCATTTTAGTGAAATTTTGTTTTGCAGTTTGCACTATATTTTGATGTTAGAGATGATATTTACATGTACATCGCAAGTGTATTGTTTTACAAACTTCTAAAAGAACTTCAAATCCAATTGTATCATCATAAAAAATGACAAAGTTCACTACTCTTGCGATCTTCATCGTCTTATTTCTAGGTTCGTTTTACATTACCACCATTGAAATTATGAAATACTATTATGTGCACGTTTTTTTAAGATCTCATGTTCTTAAAATATCTTGTTAGGGATGGTGGCTAGAGAGACGCAAGGACAGCATATCTGTCGTCAGACTCTCTTAAACGACAACTGCACTGGACCCACGTGCACAGAGCTGTGTGACAAGACATGGGGTGGAACTGGCCAGTGTTACCGAACAGTTGACAAACGCTTTATTTGCCTCTGCAATTTTATTTGCAAGACTTGATTTTTTGACTAACATGTTTTATTCTCATCTATAAGCTATATGAATGTTATAATAAAAACATTTACGTTTCTTGCAACTGTTTTCAAATATTACATTAATGTGTATCGGATTCGAAGTTTCGAACTAACCTGGAAACTGAACTAAAAGTTTTTTTTTGGGTACGCTACTGAAGTATAGTTCAAAAACAAAAGAAATATACTCAGAACATCTTCAATGGGAGTTTTTTCCATTGAAGTTTTTAATATATGTGTTATGTATATATGTATGTATATATTATATGTTATATATATAAGTATTTTTGTAGAACTCTATAGGTAAAGACTCTTAAAAGAGAGTTTTAAGAATCCTTAAGAACTCTTCTTTATGTTGATAACGTAATAACATATCGTTCCAATCTATCCTTACATAAAAAAAAAACACAAATTCAACTCAGCATGTCTTTTTTTCGCTAAAATGTTAAGGATGGATACAAACCATTTAACACACAATATATAATGTGCCACGGAAATTGAATGATACAGAAATTAAACATTCTTGTAAATTTACGATTTGGTAAAAAAAATGTATGCATTTTCGTTGCTGATGCAGGAGCCAATAGTAATCTTTTCTCCTAAAAAAAAGTGGTTTCCTCATTAACCATCCTAGTGGGCACTAAATTTCCAGCAAGCTAGTATAATATGTGTTACTGTAGCTAGTATATTACTTGAAAAGTTTTATTTGATTCGGTTATGTTTGCAGGTCAGAGCAGAAAGGATGCTTTCTGATATCGGAGCTGGGAATCAGTAAGCTTCGGTCGTGGTCAGTAAGACACTATTGAAGGATGTTCTCGTGTCTCTCAGATATCATCCCACAAGTATAACTGAAACTAGGGTTACGTCATTCCTTTGTTTGAGATTGGTTTCGAATGGTTTCCCTATATATAGTTGAATATATTGGTTTATAAATCATGAATGATTCTGTTTTAGACCAAACGTATAAAGCATAATTGTTCTATGTGTTGAATAGATTGGTATATTAATATTGGCTTCTGATTTTATTACACGAGTTAGACTATGCTTTGAATTAAATTATTTTAAATGATTCCGCTGAATATAATAGTGGTTTGCAAATAGATTGCTTTCGTTTTGATTACCCATGTTTTTATTCAATCCTCCTATATATTAAAAGAGAAGTCACTTTGACACGTGACACTCACACAGCCCTTCTCAGAAGAATTCTAGCGATTCTATTGGTTGATTTTTTATAATTTATTTTTTGATTTATTTTTACCATCGACACTACTAAAAAGGAAATCCATTTAAATACTTACCTTTTGTGTTTTCTCGATTCAAAGAACATCCACGCATTAAATATTTTAAATGTCAGAGAAACAAAATTTATGTTAGGTTATTTACTTGCCTTACATTATATTCGCTAACTTGCGAAAGAAGTTGAAAATTAAATGCCAAATATGTCAATCTCATACCATTAGGAAAGATTGACAATATATATACAGAGAGCTTCTGCAGTCTCTATGGCGAGCAAAATGGTTGAGTCAATGAAGTTTGTACCAGCCCAAGTAATCTTCTTCGACAGTCATTCCAAAAGTATCTTATATGCTTTTTTTCTTCTGAACATTTTCATTCTCTTGTCTTTAGGCTCGCATCTATGAAGGAAAGGAACCGGTTCAGTTCTTCGTCATTATGCAAAGTTTTATCGTTTTCAAGGTTTGGCTGTAGTTTTATTTTATCATCCATATTCTTGTTTATAAAGACACACAACTGCTGATTTTGTTTGTGTTGTGGTTGAATCTTTATAGGGTGGTGTTAGCAGTGGATACAAGAAATACATAGCAGAGAAAGAAGTTGATGATGATACATACAATGAGAATGGTCTTGCTCTATTCCACATTCAAGGCACTGGTCCGGAAAATATGCAAGCAATACAAGTTGACCCGGTATATGTCATTTTAACATTCGTCTTCCTTCAAAACCTTTATAATCATTCAATAGTGATAACCATTTGATTAACGTCTACAGGTTGTTTCATCACTTAACTCCTCATACTGTTACATACTACATAATGGTTCTTCTGTCTTTACTTGGACTGGGAATCTAGCAACCTCAACTGATCAGGACTTGTTGAGAGGCAGCTTGATCTTATTAAGGTAAGATTGAGTTTCTTCTTAATTGCTATAAGGATAAGTCTATTATGTTTTATATCAAGGCCTTAGTTATGATTTGAGTGTCGCTGAAGGAGAATCTGTTATGTTATTTTTGTGCAGCCAAACCTACAAACTAGAGCACAAAAGGAAGGTTCATAATCAGAACAGTTCTGGGAGTTATTAGGAGGCAAAACCGAATATTCGAGCCAAAAGCTCACTAAAGAGCCTGAGAGTGATCCTCACTTGTTCTCCTGCACATTCACTAAAGGTACAGAAGATCATTAATTTTTTTAATAAAAGTTTAAGCTTAAGCTGTTCTATGCACACAATGATTCTGTTTCCTTTTTTTTCCATTGCTGAAATGCAAAATAATCCAAAAACTCTGAAGGTGCGTTAACTGTCTATCACCAAAGACTTATGCACTCATAACCGGAAAATGCTTTGGCCTATGGCTAAGTCCAAATTTTTTTTCTATGTGATCGCTTGGCAGGTGACAGAGATATATAACTTCACACAGGATGACTTGATGACAGAAGATATATTTATAGTAGACTGCCACTCAGAGATCTTCGTATGGGTTGGCCAAGAAGTAGTCCCCAAAAACAAGTTACAAGCCTTAACCATTGGAGAGGTCAGATTCATTAGAAACACTGTTAAAAAGTCTTGATTCTGAAAACTTTTTTGAAGTTGCTCATCTATGCCTTTTGTTTCTTTAGAAATTCATTGAAAAATATTCTCTCCTGGAGAAGTTATCCCCTGAAGCCCCTATATATGTGATCATGGAAGGTGGTGAGCCAAGTTTCTTCACCCGGTTTTTCACTTCTTGGGATTCCTCAAAGTCTTCTGTAAGTACCGAACACCTTCAATTAGTTTCTCTGAGATATACTGAAACAAATCAGTCTTGAAAAGGAGTAAACGCTCTATTTTGTTTATAGATGCATGGAAACTCATTCCAGAGAAAACTTAGAATAGTCAAAAATGGTGGAACTCCAGTTGCAGAGGTGAAGATTCTTCATGCATTCCTTCTTGTTGATGATTATTCAGAGTTTGTTTTGTTCATTTCTCTCTTTGGTTGCTGCTTTGATGATTTAGAAACCGAAAAGAAGAACTCCAGCTTCATATGGTGGCCGTAGTGCCAGTGTTCCAGACAAGTCACAGCAGCGGTCAAGAAGCATGTCGTTTAGTCCAGATAGGGTACGCGTGAGGGGAAGATCTCCAGCGTTCAATGCACTTGCAGCAACATTCGAGAGCCAAAATGCAAGAAACCTCTCAACTCCTCCTCATGTAGTTAGGAAACTCTACCCTAGATCTGTTACTCCTGATTCCTCAAAGCTTGCTCCCAAGTCTTCAGCCATTGCTTCTCGTAGTGCCCTTTTTGAACAACAACTAAAAACACCTCCCCAAGAACCTTCAATCCCAAAACCAATCAAAGTTTAGTAAAGCAATGCCTCGCTCAACGACTCTTGTAAAATACAGTGGCAAACTTGGTTTGCTTATGTCGGGAGATTCTGGTGTTGTTAATGGAGAAAGTTAAAGTTTTGAGCTGTGGGTTCTGCTTGACGCTGCAAAACACGAGTGGTCTAATCATGTATACGTATTACCACCTTCGTGGGAGGATGTGGTTACAGAAACCATGCACATTGCTGGAATGGTTGGTGTAAACGAAGTCGTCTTGGCCCCTAGCTACCAAGAATTGCCTTACTATGTCATCTACTTCAACGTGGAGAGCAAGACGATTAGAAAAGTTGGAATCCAAGGACTGGAAGCGCTTCAGGGTAATAGTTTCAAAACGTATCTCAACTATGTTGAGAATGTGAAGCTTTTTTAAGCATTTTATAAGTGAGAGACAAGTGTTGTTTTCATTTTGTGTCTTTCGTTTTTTTTTTCTAGCGTCTTAGTTTGAAAAAGTCCACCTGTTGTGGACTTTCTTCTTGTTACAGACTTTCTTCTTGTTACAGACTTACAGAGTACTCTTTACAAATGTATATACTAAACCAAAACAGAGAAGTTTAGAATGTGATCTTTAATGCATCAGTTTCTTATGTGTTGGTTTGCTTAAACATCTTTAGTCTTTTCGTATTCAATGATGCATTACCCGACGTTAAACAATTTGCGTAAAAAAGAAGAATACTTGAACTTCTTCTTCATCCCAGTAACTCTCATTATATATAACTTGGAATTTTCACATTCCTTCCCACTCAGTAACGTTGATTTTAAAACTAATAGCATGAGAAAATAAGTTAGTGGGAAATGATTTATCATCAAACACATTCATTAGGCAGAGTTTACGTGCACCGCAAGAAAGTCTTAGTCTTCTTTGTTTGTATATATATCGAGCTTATACTGAATAATATGTTCAATAGTCATGAATCCTGCACCCTTCTTATGAAGAAACGACAAATTCTTGTTGCTAAAATATTAGTAAATGAACTTTGTTTTTTTTGAACGAGGTAGATGAACTTTAAAACAAGAAAAAAATGTATTTGATAAAATTAAATAATTAAAAATTAATATTATCATATATTACCTAATCATGTTCATTTAATTACATATATATCAGCACCTAATATAAAGTACTTTTTAGAGACTTTTTCGTTTTGTTGCAGATATTAAAATCGTTTCAACACGTAATCGAAACAAGCTAGCTAGGGTTTACAAACAATCATCAACCGCCATGAAATCACGAATCCTTCAATGCCACTCACGAATATCCACCGAGGAATACTCAGAGACAATCCCACGTGATCTCATAATCGAGATAGTTTCGAGGTTGCCCTCGAAAGCGATAGCTAGATGTCGTTGCGTATCAAAGCTCTGGTCATCCTTACTTGTCCATCAAGATTTCACTGAAACCCTACTTGATATATAAACTTTTACAATTATTTTTTGACAAGGTATTGGAAGATGGGTATTGATGAGGTACCAGAGAGATTTATTTGCATTACCATCCATCATTCTGCCTCTTTCTATGACGGTATGGAATTTAATATTATTTACAGATACAATAATTAATATTTATAGTTAATAGTTATGTATATTTACATACATACAATAAACTGCAGAAATTATTTTATATCTATCACAAAAATTTATCCGGTCTTAGGGCTTACAAACTAAAATATTTTTTTGCAGGTGTCTAATGGATTTGCTACACCTTTATCGAGATTTTGTACTTCATAAATTTATATTATTTATGGATAATAATTTTAATTTTATTTTGGGAGCTTATTTTGAAATTTATTATATTTTCTTTTAATATGTGTACAGAAATAATTATGAAAATTAAACATAATACTATTATTCACCTAAAAATAAAAATTACAACATATATACAATACAATTCTGATTACAAAGGATAATATAAAATCTGTTACTTCTAAAACTGTACGCTATTTATAAGAAGTCTTAGCAAATCCATTAGATGACGAATGAAAATATTTTCGTAAAACACACTAATTATTTTGAGACTTTGCAATTATACATACACACAATAACTGCTCGCACCATGTGCGTTATTTTATACCCTCTCATACAATGTCAAATATTGAGTACCGGCTTTTCTCCATGGTGTAGGATTTCTCCAAAACATGGTAGTATGATGATTTACAGTCCGTCACTTCTAAACCGATACACTATTATAATAATTTTTTGAATATACTTATGCCCGCACAGGGTGCGGGCCGGTCACCTAGTTTATGTTAAACGCAGTGGTTGAATAAGTGGTTTCAAAGTTTAATTATATAATATTTTATTCTTATTTAATTTCTTTCTTTCTACTAGAAACCAATCTTAAGTTGCAATATTATGCATATTTAATAGCCATAACAAAGTAGATAATGATAGTGAATTCAATTATAATCTTCTTTTTTGTCAAAGAAATCAATTATAATCTGATACTGTTATATTTGAATAAGATCATATTGCTTTTCAAAACACGTGTTTCCATTATGCCTTGCATCATAAATCTTATACAATATTAATGTATATTTTACTTAGCATGATTTCTTCCTATATCAATACGATTGCTTTCCAAATCAACTGACCCTAATTAGTCAAAATTTATTTTATTTTACATATAGTAGATATTCTAAATTTTACTCTATGGACACGCACAATTTCATATATAAATATAGAGATGATATTTATGTGTACATTACAAGTCTACAAACACACTCATTGTTTTATAACCTTTTGAAAAAAATAATCTTCAAATCCAATTTTATCAGCATAAAAATGACAAAATACACTACTCTTGCGATCTTCATCGTCTTATTTCTAGGTTTGTTTCACAATTACGACCATTGAAATGCTATTATATATGCACGTTTTCTGCGACTTCATGTTCTTAAAATATTGTTGTAGGGATGGTGGCGGCGAAAGAGACACAAGGACAGCGTATCTGTCGTCAGATTCTCCTAAACGACAGCTGCGATGGACCCTTGTGCACAGAACTATGTGACAGGAAATTGGGTGGATTTGGCCAGTGTTACCGAACAGTTGACAGACGCTTTATTTGCCTCTGCAATTTTATTTGCTAGACTTGTTTGTTTTGTCATGTTTTTTTTCTTTTGAGAAAATTTTCATATCATTTGTCATGTTTTATTCTTATCTTTTTTTTTTTGAACAACAATGTTTTATTCTTATCTATAAGCTATATTAATGTTTTTTTTTACTAAATAAGCTATTTGAGTGTTATAATAAAAACATTAATAGTTTCTTGCAACCGTTTTCTATTCTTACATGAATGTGAACTTGCATTCGAACTGACCTGGATACTGAACTATAGTTTTTTGGGGTCCGTACGCTACTGAAATACAGTTTTTAATTGTTTATATAATATATGGTTCCAATCTTTCCTTCAAATTATACACAAAATAAACGTAGAAGGTTTTTCTAGTCGTGTATGTTTTAAAGGAGGGCTAACATGCATCATTGAACGAACAGATGGAAACCATTTAACACATAATGTGAATATAGATATATCATGTTCACCTAGCTAATATCCACCTTCGGATGTGCGTTCACGGAAGAATTGATCTCTAATCTATACTACATGATGGGACTAGGACACTTGGTTATCAAAAAAAAAAAAAATAGATATATCTATAATCACTGGAAACACGCTGCATGGGATCAAATGTTTTGGAGTCTCAACTCTCAATAGCATCAATAACGTTCACTTCCATTGAGATATGTATCGTCTTTTATCCTCCTTGTAGTGTATGATTTATGTCTGTAGACTGTAATATTGCCTTGACAAAGAAGATCGAGGTCAAGTAGGAGTGGGATTTGATTTGGGTTTCGTTGCTGAAGGAGGAGCCGATATAGCAAGCCTACACGGCTACATTCATTTGGTTTGAAGCATTGTGGTCAACTGTTCATCATTAATCCTTCCTCCAAATGTTTTTCCTGTAGAAGATATTGGTTTCTGAATCATGCTTCTGTTTTAGACCAAAAGTATAAAGCATAATTGTTCTATGTGTTAAATAGATTGGTATATACATGTATTGCTTCTATTTTTATTACATGAGTTAAACTATGTTTTAAATTAAAATTTTCATAAGGATTTTTAAGATTTTTAAGTCTTGTATTATTGGTTTATTGATTTTTAAATTTTCATTAAAGTTTAATGTTATTGATTTGTTGATTTTGTAATTCTATACAAAATCCATTGTTATTCAAAAAGTTTAGATTTTAGTGATTTTACAAATCTATTAAAGTAAGTGTTATTATGAGTTATATTTTTAACATTTTAACTCACATAATAAGATTTTGAGAATATTCCATATATCCCTTGGATTATTAAAATCATTATAATACTTTATTTTCATAGATTTTCACAATATACAAACTTCTCTATAACTCTTTCCAAAGTTAACAAATCTCTCAACTTTTAAAATATCTGTAGAAATTTAAATCCCACTAACATCCCCTAAATTTTATTAAATTATTCCGTTGAATATGTTAGTGGTTGGCAGATAGATTGCTTTCGTTTTGATTATTCCATGTTTTAATCCAAATTCTGTCAAAACCAGTAGTTGAATAGGTGGTTTTCAAATGCATTGATTCCATTTAGAAATTTAGCATGAATAACAATAATAACAACCGGCAAAATAGAAGAATAAACAATAACAACAGTATAGTCTAGGGCTGGGCAAAAAAAACCGAACCCGAAAATCCGAACCGAATCCGATCCGATAAAAATGAATCCGAACCGATCCGAACCTGACATAAATACCGAATGGATCTTGTTTTATGGTATTTCGGGTTATGGGTGTTACCCGAACCGAACCCGGACTTAAATGGATATCCGAAAGAACCCGAAACTTTAAAATTCCAAAAAAACTTGTATCATATCCAATCTAAACTTCTAATATGTTTCCAAAACAGATTAATATATTATTGAGTACCTACAATAATTAGTTATGATATAAATA